ACAGATAGATAATTAGAGATAGTTAATTAGATAGAGATAATTAGAGATAGTTAATTAGAGATGGATAATTAGAGATGGATAATTACAGATAGATAATATGAGATAGATAATTAGATAGAGATAATTAGATAGAGATAATTAGATAGAGATAATTAGATAGAGATAATTAGATAGAGTTTAGGTTAGATTGGATTAGATTGGATTTAGATTTAGATTAGATTTAGATTAGATTTAGATTAGATTTAGATTAGCTTTAGATTAGATTAGATTAGATTTAGATTAGGTTAGATTAGATTTAGATTAGATTAGATTAGATAAAGATTAGATAAAGATTAGATAAAGATTAGATAAGATAAGATAAGATAAGATAGATACAGTAGATTCAGTAGATAGATCTCTGTGTGTGCGCGGCGTGTGCGTTGATGTAGGGCAAGAACCCCTGTCACAAGAAATGCGCACAAACCCAAGTTGCAATCCCAAAGTCCAAAGCTGGTTGGTGGTTGAGCCGCCCGTCCACCCCAAGCAGGATGGATGGAAAGGCTCCAATTCTGGCTGTGAATACCCGGTGACTCTGGTGTACATCAAAGTAGCTGGTGCGATACATGAATGTTCATCCCCCCATTCATGTGGTAGCATAGATGTTGTTTGTCCCATCCCCGCCATTTTATCCTATGAGAAATCCCCAATGAATAATCCAATGATAGTGTCTGGACCCATCCAAAACCTGGCAGTTGAAATCCCAGAGATTCTGGCAGCGAAAATCCAACAACCAAATCATCAAGCTGAAATGAGGTCCTTTTTGGATGCTTCCCCATATCAAACCCATCATGTTTGGTGAAGTCGGCCAGTGACCTCCTGCTAATTCACCCAGAAAAAATGGAAACAAACATGGCCAAGCTTACAGCTTAGATACAACCAATGACGGAGATGTGTTTGGGGCTGGGTCCCCATGTTTGGCCCAAAAACGAAGTGCGTCCAACGCTTGTCCAACCACTGGGCTTCAAACGCTTGGGCCCCAGAGCGGAAGGGTGGCCTAAGTCTGGCGCTCATATTCACGTTTATAATTCTGCATTTTGACGTTCATATAATATGAACATATATAAACATCAAGATGTAGAATTGCAAACATGAAGATGTCCCATTTACAATCATCTTGATTCGTCGTGAATATTGACATTACAAGTGTGTAATTTACATCATTTATCCTTATCACTCACTTGCTCTCAAGTAGTTCAACTAAAGCTGATGGCACAGGCAACCAAACAAGTCAACAGGTAATTCCCCTAAATTGCTGAAATCGTATGCTTGGGATGTCTCAACAATTTGGCTTCCAAATGGGCACGGTGCAAGACTTCGGACTAAAGCCATCAAGGTCAAAAAATCACACCTGCCCCGAAAGATTGCGAGGTCCTGAAAATCCAAGACAAACCCATCTGTCCTCAAAGTGCATGGCCCATCTGTGAGACATTTTGAGAGCCCCACTGCACTTTGGCTGAGCGACCTGGGCATCGAGAAGCACGCACATGTCAGCAGCAGGTTGCCAGATTTTACCTCCAACCCCCAAAACAAAAATGATTGACAGGGCGGGGATATTTACGGATCTTGAAATGAACTAGACGTTGGCCTGGAATCTAGTGGTGCCCAATGAGGTACCAAAAAAAACTAGCGGTTTGTAAATCCGAGATCAGTGTCCGATTCAAACTGGATGGAAATGGTCACTTCTCATCGCAAGGCATGACCAGAGCGTTGAACATCTAGAAAAAAGATGTGCACATATGATCTCTTTATATATATATGCAATGATAATTACATGAATTATATGCATACTTATTCATATAATCTATGTGTGTGTGCAGGATTGTACAGTGTATTATGAAGTCACCCCACTGGCCGCCGCCCAGTAGCAACTAAAGGCGGAAGTGTCAACAGCTTCAGGGAGGACCTGCATCCAGGGCGCCGCATAATGTTGTTTTTGCTAAGTATAGTTTTGTGCATATTCATTGGATTATTCAGCTATAAATTGGTGGTGTGTTTCCTGAATGTGCGTATTCATTCAAATATGCACTTATCATGTGTTTGTGTGTAACACAAGACATAATTCGTAATGTATAATTTGCAACATATGTGTGCGTGTGTGTGTGAATGGTATTATTGCAACTAGACAGATCGTCATAGATGTACATAGATAGACACAGATAGACATACGCGTATTTAAAAAGCAGAACACATAAACACGGATAGACATAGATAGACATAGACAGACATAGACAGAGGCAGATAGCCAAAGACACAGACAGACAGACAGCCAGACAGACAGACAGCCAGACAGACAGCCAGACAGCCAGACAGCCAGACAGCCAGACAGCCAGACAGCCACACAGCCAGACAGACAGACACATAAAACGATAGACCGATAGATAGATGAGAAAAAGAATCCTCAAATTAGATAGATATGACAGATAGGATAGATAGGATAGATTATATAGATAGATTGGATAGATTGGATGGATAGGGTCGATAGAATAGAGAGGATAGATAGGATAGATAGGATAGACAGGTAAGATAAAATTGGATTAGACCAGGTTAGCCTAGATTAGATTTAGATTTGGATTGCGATTTAAGTTTAGGTCAGGTTTAGATTTAGATTTAGATAGGGGTAGGTAGATGGGCAGATAGGTATATATATATATATAGACATATAGATAGTTTATCGAGGGAAGTTTAGAAGTCAAACTTCCGACAATATGGACAGATGAAAAGCAGAGACGGGAAGAGTCAGAGAGAAGATCAGAGAAGATCAGAGAAGAGAAAGAGTCAGAAGAAAGAAGATGCAGGTTCGCGAAAAGGTACAAAAGTCGCGAAACACTGCTTTTTTTCCAATGATTCGTGGCTCTGGAGGGTCGAAAAGTAGGCTCGCTAAAGCGGCGGGTGCGGAGCCAGCTAGCCAAATGAGAGATGAAAAATTGCACGCGGTTGTGGCGCGAAGCACATGCCGAAGTCAGAATGTACAAAACACACCAGCTTCGGACCACTTTTGGAAGTTGCGATGTCGGAAAAGTGCGCGCCGTTGCGGCGCGAAGCACATGTCGAAGTCAAAATGTACAAAACACACCAGGTTCGGACCATTTTTGGAAGTTGCGACGTCGCAAAAGTGCGCGCCCTTGTGTTGCGAAGCACATTTCGAAGTCAAAATGTACAAAACACACCAGGTTCGGACCATTTTTGGAAGTTGCGACGTCGCAAAAGTGCACGCCGTTGTGTTGCGAAACACATTTCGAAGTCAAAATGTACAAAACACATCAGGTTCGGACCATTTTTGGAAGTTGAGATGTCGAAAAAGTGCACGGCGTTGTGTTGCGAAGCACATTTCGAAGTCAAAATGTACAAAACACACCAGGTTCGGACCATTTTTGGAAGTTGAGATGTCGAAAAAAAATGCGATAGATAGACGGATAGATAGATTGATTGATAGATTGATAGATAGATAGACAGGTAGATAGGTAGATAAGGAGAGAGATAGAGAGATAGATAGATAGATAGATAGATAGAGAGAGAGAGAGAGATAGAGAGATAGAGAGATAGAGAGATAGAGAGATAGAGAGATAGAGAGATAGAGAGATAGAGAGATAGAGAGATAGAGAGATAGATAGATAGATAGAGAGATAGAGAGAGAGAGATAGATAGAGAGATAGAGAGATAGAGAGATAGAGAGATAGAGAGATAGAGAGATAGAGAGATAGAGAGATAGAGAGATAGATAGATAGATAGATAGAGAGAGAGAGATAGATAGATAGATAGATAGAGAGAGAGAGAGATAGATAGAGATAGAGATAGATTTAGATTTAGGTTTAGATTTAGATTTAGATTTAGATATATATATATATAGAGATTTTAGATATAGATTTAGATATAGATTTAGATATAGGTTTAGAAATAGATTTAGGTATAGATTTAGAAATAGATTTAGATATAGATTTAGAAATAGATTTAGATATAGATTTAGAAATAGATTTAGATTTAGATTTAGATATAGATTTAGATATAGATTTAGGCTTTAGGTATAGATTTAGATATAGATTTAGATATAGATATAGATAGATCGGTAGGTAAGTGGGTAGATAATCAGAGAAATAGAGAAAAAGAGAGAGAAAGAGAGGAGACATCAATCACCTTTCGATCCATCAGTGGCTTCGCTCTGCCATCCGTGATTCACAAAAACCAAGCTCTCCTATAGGTTTCCTATTTTTGAAACCTGCCACCGCCTTGTGCGGTACTACTGGGATAGATTAGATAGATCAGATGGATGAGGTTGATTAGATGGATTAGATGGACTATAGATGGGATTAGATGAACAAACAAACAGATTGATTCTACAGATCGGCAAGATTTTTAAATAGATATACAGGTTAAGCTAGTAAACTAGATACGATAGATGGGATATAGTATATAGATAGACAGGCATGCAGATACAGTACAAAGAGATGGATAGATCCATAGAGTACTCGATCGATCGCTAGGGGAAATTAGAGATAGATGGATAGGTGGACAAATAGAAAGACAATTATGGCTCAGATTTACATCTTGCTAATCATGTGCGCTTTTCATGAAATTGGCCCCAAATTGCCTGAACATCTTGCAATTTGGTCAAGCCATTTTGGCAGAATCGTCCAGAATCATGTTCTCCCCTCCTCATCTCACCAGAAAGCATCATCTAAATCATCCGGATGCTTCGGGCCCCAAGAATAACTCAAAAATACCAGGCCTTCACCCTGTCCTGGCTCGGAGATTTTGATCAGCGGCAGGTTTTGGGTGGTCAAACTAAAAATCATACCTGGAAGAAGAGGAATGTTCAGCACTATAAATACCTGGGAACCTTATATTGGAACCCCAAAATGGACCATTCCATTTTTAGGTGTCGTGTCAGTTTCCAGGAGTGCGGCATGATATGGTTGGCTCAGTCCTTGCTAAGCCCAGACTCCAGGAAGGCTTCTCTACCTCAGTCGTTGGTAGTTGATACACCCGACCACCATTCAAAATATGCATTCTTTAAAAAAAAAAAACATTGCTTAAACTACAAGAAACAAGTTCCTCCAAACCCCGGGTTCGTCCACACTCAAACAACACATCCAAACAATATGATCTACTTATCACCAGAGGATGAATGAAGACACTGGCTATACGCTGTGATTTTGACTTTAAGTTTTCAGGATTTAATTTAGGGTTGAGACTTTTAGGGTTTTCGGGTTTGTTGTTTTGGAAAGCAAAAAATTAAACCCTACACAGGGATTTGAGCATGTCAAAGGATATGCGGGATTCGCCGCAGGCAAACCTAGGGTTTGCAGCGAACATGTTTAATAAAGGGAATATATACGCCTCTTGGGGGTATCTCTTGGGGGTGGTGGGAGGTTTCAAGTATGGCACACCCTGAGCCACGGACTCTGGGCCGAGGGCACCTGACACTAGTGGCTTCAATCCATCACATATCGGGCACAGGTGGCAGTGGCCGTCCGTGTGGGAAAAAACACGCAAGAAATCCCGGACGTTCAAGTTCCTTTTGGTACACACTACTGAAGGAACTTCCTATCTCGTCATGATGCTTATAGAAACCCACAAAGAGTTCTCAGTACATTTCCACTGAAACAGTGATGAATACAGTATTACTTTAAGTGTTCTATCTTTTGCTGGCCGCCATAATCCCAAAGAAAAAGTGACATCGGAAAGGGTAGTTATTCTGCACATGGGGCCGCAGTGACCTCTCCCGGGCGGGTACCAAGTGCTCCGGCCCAAACATAGTCGAAGCGATTGCAGTCCCTCGAGGCGGTGCGCACATCAGCAGAAACCCCTTCCCCCAACCCCAGATCGAAACCTTGGTTTTTTTATTGGAAGATATTGGAAGTATCCATTTCCGGGAAGGCATCTTCGGTCATTTTGTGTCATGGTATTCGGATGTACCCTCTGGTAAACTAACATAGCTATTGGAAATGGCCATTTATAGTGGATTTTCCCATTAAAAATGGTGATTTTCCATAGTTATGTTAAATTACCAGATGGTATTAGGATCAGATGACAACAGCCGTGGAAGAAATATGGCCGGGCCACGATTCTCAGCTGCTGACCTGGATGCTTCCGCGTCCAGCCTGTCCACCTCGACCATACTTCGACTCACCAGGACCAGCCTCAGTCGGATCTCCGGGATCTCCGGGAGTTCAACCTTTGTGTTTGATCTACCTAGTCATCAGCGAACCATTGAGCCCCTACATTATAGATCATTATAGGCCTAAAGTATGATGCAAGTGCTTATGCAACTACACGTCATGCATCTATTGGATAGATATAGAATGATATAGAGAGAGATCATTGTGTGTAGAACGGTTTCAACAATGCATCCACTGCTTGGAAACATGGGGGACAATTTTTACAACCCAGTGATTGACTCATCCCTCATACAATGAATGAATTGCCCCCGTGTGGCCCACAAAATAAGAGATCGAATGTATATAAACATTTGTTTTCTGATATTTTCCTGATAACTATTTTTGTGATAACCTATTTAATGATTTGATGTGAAAGGGAAGGGGGTTCTAAGACCTGCCGCATGGGTACCCAAAAAGAACACATGCAGCAATCAGGTCCGGGTGGTGCTTACTAGTTGGGGAAGGGATCCCAAAATGCTCACCCCCCGCACCCTGAGTGCAGCACCCCTTACGACCAGCAGGACCCTGACGCAAAGCCACAAGTACTGTAGCAGAGTTGCAAGCCACCCAAGATGGCAATTGCAAAGATGAAATCATGGCATCCCCATGATTTGGGTATGACTCATATGACTCAAATCTGATCATTTTCTATCTGTTCTATTCATGGTGTTCGGTCTTTTTCGGGGGTCAGTGGCATTGAGCCATCCCCATCTCCCTCGCAGTGGGCCCTGCAGCTTTTTGTTGCCGCTGGGATCAACGCATCTCGGGTGAAACCACTTGACCTCGAGTACCACACAGCTCTCATGCGCGGAAGGGTCGCAAGGGCCAAGCCTGCCAAAGCGAAATCATAGCAACGAACGAAATTCCGACACCAATGGCCCAACCAGATGTTGTCATGCATGTTGAAAATGTTCAAAAGTATGAACCATGACCTTTCGCGGGGGGTAAAGGATTTTGAGCCGTACCGTGTCCATTTCATATCGATCTTTCGTGCTGTTCAAGAACCAACAAGAGGCACATATTATTTGCCTCAGTTGCATGTGCGACATATCCTCAGCAAATTATAGATTACCCCGGTAATCAAAGGTGGCAATTTTCAAATCTCCCAATCTTTTTGTTGATTTTCCCATCAGAGCCCCCATTTATTGTGGGGATTTCCAACTGCCATGATAGATTGGTATTTCCCACTTGCCAGGTTAGATTACGTACTGTTAACTGCTGGTTTGGGGCTGGCCCCCAAAAACCACCTGTGAACCATTGGTTATCCAAGCTCTTATTCCATGAAATACTGGTTGGTTAAACACGGGATGAAGAAAGAGCATATATAGATTATGATAAGTATATGGCAGTGTGTCAGAACCTTGTACCCCTGGTGAACATCAAAATAGCTGGTAAATGGATGTTCATCCCACTAAAAATGGTATTAATAGGTATTGATCCATACCCATATGGCCTGGTATTACAGATAATCATGAACCAACCTTTGGGGGAAGCAATGAAGTCCTGCGGTGATCGCTCCAAGGCAGCCCTCGCCTTGTCCTGCTCAGACAGGACTGCAACTCCTTGGCTCCAGAGTCAGCACCAAGGAAAACTGCCCTCACCAGGGGTCCAAAATAGCCCACTGTACATGGTTAGCCTTGAATAACCCACCAAAAGGTGGAAAAAACTTTGTTCTTGGTCTTTGCATGTGTCCATTTCTGGTTCAAAAACAGTAGAAATCCATGAACACATACTTTAAAAAAAAAAAAGGTGTGGCATTTTCCGCCTGGTTCAGCTGAGCATCCAAAAGCCCCCCGCAGCACTGCGCTTTTAGTGAAGGGGGCGCCCGTCATCAATCGACCACCCGGGAAGGAGTAGACCTCAGGTGGGGTCTGGATGGGAAAATCATGATGATTCATAGGGTTGGGGGTGCCAAAATTTGAGACATACCCCAGATGGTACCAGTTTGATCTTCAAACCCTCATGGTGGGGTGAGGCATGTTTCTGAAAGCTCCAATAACATCACCCCACTTGGAGCTACCCATTGGCCATTGGTGAGCTCGCCATTTGTTTTAGATTGGAACCCCAATTCAGGATTGTAGAACCCCTTCCCCCTGCCTAAGGCCATCTTTATCGCTCATCGTTTAGGGGGAGTAAGAAACTTCCCCCAGAAAACCAGATGTAATGGTGGATCTATGACTCCAGCTAAGCCTGCGGACCACGCCAGCTGCCTGGCGATGGGATTTTGAATTTCGTGCTTAGCGTTTTTTATCATATATGATAGAGAGGATATAGATAATATTATCCTGGGGCATTCCGGCATCTCCAGGTTGTTCTTTTTTGCTTCTCCATTTTGGGGGTGACATCACATGATGTCCCCGGTTTTGGTATTTGTATCAACCACGACTTGTGACAGTGCGCAACAAAATAAGTATCAAAACACGGGGATGACCTAAACCACTGGTTTCCCCTGCTGAAATATGCCGTTGTTTGCGGATGTTCCATCTTCAGGCGCAGTGGGGCACAATTATTCTGCCACAAAAACGGCTAGAGACAAACAATCCATTCACCACTAAGTTTCACCAGCTTTTGATGGTTCAATGAATTCAATCTCCCCAATTTCCCCAATGCTTTTCCTAAGGTTTTCTGATGATTTTGATACACCATGGATTTCCAAGGTCGCCTCATCCGCCACATAGATGGTCTGATCCCCATCCCAGCAGAGGCCCCGTGGAGACGATAGCCCTGTGATGAAGTCGAAGGTGGCACCGCCTGTTGTGACCTCGGCAACATGGGATTTTCCAGTGAAATCTTGGGAAATCCATGGAAATCCTGCAACAATTTGCCCCTTGAACCAATGCAATGGTGATTCGGCGGAGATTGTAAAATGCAAAAGGGCCTGTTTCTTCAGGTGATTTGTTCAATCATATCGATTTGCAGTTGCTACTCAAGTCATATATTTATCTGCATATATATGTATATATATCTATCTATCTATCTATCTATCTATCTATCTATCTCTCTATCTCTCTCTCTCTCTCTCTCCCCATCGCGTATCTAAAACTGGGATTTGTTTGTAGATGCGAAAATCCATGTGTATGCATATAGACTGATAGATGGATAGATAGAGATGGATAGAGATAGATAGAGATAGAGAAAGATAGAGATAGATAGAGATAGACAGAGATGGATAGAGATGGATAGAGATGGATAGAGATGGATAGAGATAGATAGCGGTAGAAGATAGATAGAAGATAGATAGATATATATATATATAAATAGACATATATTAAATAATTATTTGGTAATTATTTGATAATAATTATTAGGTATTAGATAAGTATTAGAAGTATTACATATTATATTAGATACTTATTATATTTATATTAGATAATTATTAGGTATTAGATAATTATTAGGTATTAGATAACTATTATAGTAGATATTAGATAATTAATTATTAGATATTAGATAAACATGAGATATTATATTAAATAATTATTAGATATTAGGTAATTATTAGGTATTAGTTAGTTATTGGATATTAGATAGCTATTACCGTAGATATTAGATAATTGATTGTTAGATATTAGATAAGTATTTGATATTATATTAGATAATTATTAGATATTAGGTAAATATTAGGTATTCGATAATTATTTGATATTAGACAACTATTACAGTAGATATTAGATAATCAATTATTAGATATTAGATATGGATATAGACAACTATACATAATATAGATATGTGTATGTGTGCATATTGCCATAAAGATCATACAGTATATTCTACGAAGTATGGTGGCGTGTAAATATCTGTGCCAGTTGTTTCAATGATTCCAAGTCCGTACCTGAAACGTCGCCGCCAAAGTGGCCCCAGAAACCACGCCCATGCCGTTGTTCAGAGCGCTCAGGAAGATGTATTTGCTGGACCTGGTCCCACGCCCTGTTGGCTGTTGGAAAATGACACCAGCATCTGGAAAGAAATGGTAAACTTGGATTTGCATCCCAATTACTACGTGAATAAGGGATTAATACTGATTACTGTCTCTGCACGCATCAATGGCACACAAGGAGGAAAGCATCTAGAATCTAGAAGAACCAAGGCGTCACACTGAGGAACAATGTGTCCTTCCAAGAGTTGCTGTGGTTGCGAAAGAATCGAAATGAACAACAAATTGCAATCATGCCCAGAGTCCTTGAAACCAGTCAGGTTTCTTTTTCAGGAAACTATACACCAAAGGGCCCTGTGGCTGGTTGCCAGCAGCCTACAGATCTTTCCCGATAATCTTTTACATGGTTGCATTTTCCCAGCTGCCCTCTGGTCAATCAACGGTGTGAATTGGCATGGAAGCTGAAGCCTCTTACCATCACAGGTTCACCTACAACATATGTGTGCATACATATGGTTATATATATATATGATATATATGATATATATATAATATCATCTGTGTACAGTGTGCGTGCGTGTGTAGCTGCACATATCTACTGTCGTACATGTTTAAATGCATCATCTATGTTTACATTTACATTTATGGCCCATGATCCATGCTGGTAAGACTTTCTACTCCATACGAGAAGCCCGCGCAACCAAGCGGCTTCGTCATGCCGTAGCCTGTGTCCGACCTTGCCGCGTATGATTGAAATAGCCAACCGCAAGAGGTGTATCATCAAACAAGGGATGTGTTCCAGGGATGCTTTCGCCCAAGTCTTTGGGTCTTAATCTCTGGTAATCAAATATAGCAATAGGAAATCCCCATGCTTTAATGGGATAAAAACATCTGTAAGTGCATTTTCACGTGGGGAATTTGTGCATTGCCATGTTAGATCACCGGAGGGTAGAATTCATTAATTAGTTCCCCCAACTTTCAGACAGCCAACCACCAGCCCTGGTAAATGGATGATCCAAGTTCACCATAAAGACGTACAACCTTTGGTCCAGGGCAAAGTCGGGTGGCAAGCAACATAGCTTATAGGTAGCTCTCAAAAAATGTACATTTTCGTGGGATAGGTTCCTCTATGAAAAATGTCCAAGATTATAACTTATTCACTGAGCATTCACCCAGGCTTATTCGCTCCCTACGCCGTGTGCCCGGGCTGGTTGCTGAGCATGGTTGATGGAAAGCTGGTTGCTCCGCTTGCAAGCTGCGGTGACACCTGGCTCAGTGATGTCAAGAGGGTCCAGGAACTGATGTGAGCAACAAAAATGAAAATGGGATTTACATAAAACTACATATATACTTAATATATACCAGCAACAGCACGTGGCTGCACTATGAAGCCAACAACTATTGGATCTACTGGCAAGACTCTTGAGGGAAAAAAACACGGCGGGACGGTTTGGAGTCCCCTGGCTCAGCCTCGCCCTCGACCACGGAGCCCACGCTTTTTCCAGAAACGGAGTTGGTCCAGTATAGCCTCCATGCGGAGCTGAGAGCAGGTACAAACAGGTTGAGATGTTTGATAGATTTTGATAGGATCTTGCGCGCAAGTTCTGAAATTGTAGTATTAGTAGTGCCACCACATGGCACACTTTCACAAGTGACAGTTTATGAAACCTATCGCAAAATTGGTTTAAGGGAAAATCTGCAGGAAACCCCTACAGTATATCTGAAGGTACAAAACACGGTTTTCGTAGATTTTCCCTCCGCCTTAAACCATAGAGCCTAGTCTTCCCCAAGCCCTTCCAATTCCGCACATGAGATATGAGCCCTCGAGCCTGGCTCCATCGGAAACTAAGCCCGCAGGGGTGCTGACATGAGGGTTTGCTGAACCTGCCGGCGTCCAGCATCGCAACAACGGCCCACAGGACTCCGGGACTGCATCGTCTCATCGCACGATTTTCTTCTTCTTTCTTCATCATCTTCATCGTTTTCATCATTTTCATCTTTATCAACCAGCCCGAGCTGCCTTCATACAGCGAATAGACCTGGGCAAACACCAGGAACAAGTGAGAACCCTCCAGGAAGAGAAATGCATAGTTGTATTTCCCAGGTTTATCTAACTATCTGGCGGCCAGTTCTCACACATTGACATGCGCAAAAGCAGAATAATTTATACTCCTCATGCGTCACTGCACTCCGTCACACTTGAAACAACATCGCAACTCCCAAGTGACATATCCAGGACACGATCATTCTCGTAACTGGGATTTAGTCCAACTTTCAACATATTGCTATCGGATAAATAAAGCGCTCTCGGGCGAAGACTTTCGCTCCATCCCCTACAAAGACCGGATGAGATCATTGCACCTTAAATACCCTCTGGTAAACTAACATAGCTATTGAAAATGGCCATTTATAGTGGATTTTCCCATTAAAAATTGTGATTTTCCATAGCTATGTTAAATTACCAGAGGGTAATGATCACCACCACCAGCACCAAACAGCTCTCACCCCCCAAAAAAAAGGTGCCATTGACCTGGCTCTGAAAGAGTGGGAGATGAATGAATGGTACTTGGGTGCGTTTTTGGGTGCAGTTGGGGTTACAAATATCACCGGAAATAAGCCTCATGAATTGGGATATAAGACAGAAGATGATATAAGCCAACTGCGACCCTTGTTATTTTAAAATTATATATATATATAATTGATATATATATAATAATAATAATAATGATAATAATAATAATATGTGTGTGTGTATCTGTAAAATCACATATTGTACCCATCACTGACACCACTTTCGGCACCAGGCGACAAAGCGCGACACCGCGACGTTGGAGGTGGCACCTCCACCTCGGTAAAGCCACCCATTTATGGTACAAGGGATGGTTTAGGGTTCTGGCTTTACCTATTGTTCTATGTAAAAAGGCCTCATTGGCCTATCAAACCAACTACTTTGGTGGTTGAAATGGATCAATTCCGATAAATACTACATTAATATAACTGGTTTAAACTCTACATCATTCTAAATCTGGTTGATTCTTCCCAAGCCCGGTGGGCTTCAGCAGGCACCAGATCAGTGGTGTCCACCTCATGGAATGTTTGATTTTTTGTCCCAGTGAAAATAACTGCGATGTAATGATGGTGAAAATAACACGAGATACGGTATATAAAATCTACATATTACATATATATATATGTAGTGTGTGCGTGCATTGATCTACTATTTCACCTAGTTGTGAGTTATTGTGATTGAATGTGTTACCCGCTATTAAACTTCCCACCATTAGGATTATCAGAACTAGGCACTACAATGCATACAATCATAGAATAAGCTACAGTAAGGAAGTGGAGCACTTCTCAGCCATCAATACCTGAGCCCATCACCGTGCTCCAAAGTTTTTTCGGAGACGAGGCTGAGATCACCTGGGATACAGGGGACCTTCCTGACACAGGGCCCACCTCAACCCAAACGATAGGGAGGCAATGTGGCCCCGTTTCCCGGAGACGTTATGTGAAGTCACTCATCAAATCATCCAACTGATATCCCAGGCAGCCATTGGAAAAATCTCCGACTTTCGATTTCTCATGATTTCTCCATATTTCTCCTCATATTTCCCCAGTAAAGATCCTTGGTGGCGACGTCCCAACTGGGTGGACCCAGTTGGCCGATGCCACGGCACTGGCACTGTAAGATCCCTTCGAGAGCATGTCAATAACCTCCACAGGGATCCTGCGGATGATCCGATCCAACGGTCCAACAGTCCAACCTGGAAGATCATCTTTATGGATATATCCATCTGTAGCTGTCCTTTATGTACATGCGTACGTATTTATGTATGTATATATATATATATTATTATGAATCTATATCTATGTGTCTGTGTCTGAGTGTTTGTGTGTGTGCCTACTGAAAAATGTTGAAAACGTGATGGGTTTCATGTGATTTCCCCGATCCTCTGCTCTTTAGGTTGCTGAAGGCCTCAGCCCTGCTTCATTAAAACCCGCTGACTTGTGAATCCTATTGATGCAAATGCACCTTCGACCCATTGCGCATGCGTGGATATCGCCAAAGGCAGGCAGCGGTAACAGCTTGACTAACGGTTCATCCAAATTCATATTTGAAAGATCTACATCTAAAATCATGTTTTTGCAACCTTGACGCGCATGCATCCAATGGCATTGATCCAATGATGCTGGAGCCATTACCCACGCCCTGACCTATTGATGGTCTTGGTGGTCGCGTCGGAGTAGAAGACATCACCGTTGATGTCCACGTTGACCCACGAGGTGTCCGCATTCTCACGGCAGGAGTGGGACGTGTCTTTGGTATTGAAAAAAGATGTTCATATTGGTTTGAGTGCATAGTATGTGTGTATGTATAAACATATATATATATATATATATTTTATATATACATATACATATATATATGTGTGTGTGCGTGATTATGTATACATATATATATACATATATATGTGCATATATATATATATATATGATTATGTAAATATATATATATGCATGCATATATATATATATGCGTGTGTGTGTGTATCGACATATATATATATACATATACACATAGGTATATATATATATACGTATTATATATATATATTGTGTACTTGTGTGTATGTCCATCATCTAGTTGATCTAATTGATCGGTGGGCGGTATAGGCTATCTTATGTTGTCATGTTTGTTATTATTATTGTCATTGTCCTTATTCTTATCATTATTGTCAAACTATTGTTGTTATTATCCTCGGCATTGTCATTGCCATTATTGTTGAAAGTATACTTGCTAGATCATTCATCTCCCTATCGCCCTATCGCTCTGTATCTCTCTCCCTCTCTCTCTCCATGGCCATATGCCCGGATCTGGTCATGTATTTGTCTAATCGTCTCAATGTTCTTTCGCTTGGATGCTTATCTTCCGGTTCATCTACACATCAGGTACCAACCCGATTATGATTATGGCACTGCAAGGAAGAAACCACTTTGGGATATCCAAACACAAATCCGACTCCGAAAAAATCACTGCTGTTCCTTACCACACCTTTCCGATCGTTTTGGGGTGTTGAAGGGTCTTTCTGGTAGATTTTGGTCATCATTTCCTTCCATCATCACTGGCCCATACTGGCCCCATGTCCCCTGACTGGACGATCTTCGCAGGAGAAGCCTGCATGACACAGAGTTGCACGCCGTCGGTGACCAGCTGCCGTCCATTGCCGTTGTCTTCTACGTACCTTGAAAGACACAGCTGGTGCGGCCCATGGTATCTCCCATGGCAGGGCCTGAAATCAAAAACCCTCTGACACAAAGAAGTTGGTCCCGGGCAATGATGTCCTTTTATCAAAATGGAGGCACCGGTTTGGCTACTGTAATCATTTGATAGTATTTGCCAGTGGGTTGTTCCCATACCCATCTATTCATTACCCAACCTTTCGTAATGATTTGCGTGCTGGCAGGCCTGGAAAATTCCGCTGGTTCGAAGCAGTGGTGGAACTTTGGAAACATAGAAGCATAAGTCAGTCAATTCGGCTTCATCACGTCAGAATTCCAGAAAGCAGATTGGGAGCATCATAGATATCAGAATCGATCAAGCTCCGCCTGGCACCGGCCCTGTGCGCGTTTTACAAACCGAGCTGCACGTGAAAGCGCAGGACCTTCTTGGCCCCTTTGTCCGCAACGTAGAGCCTGGGACCATTCGTGTATCGAACGTGCCCTTGCTCCTACTGTGCATATTTCTAATGTGCATAATGAGTCGTAATGATATGTGGGTGTACATGCGTTTAGATGTCTCTCTCTCTCTCTCCCCCTCTCCCTCTCCCTCTCCCTCTCCCTCTCCCTCTCCCTCTTGCTCTCTCGCTCTCTCGCTCTCGCTCTCTCTCTCTCTCTATCGCCGAATGCATTTAGATGTGTGTGTGTGTGTGTTTGTGTGTCTATCTGTGTGTCTGAAATGCCATGAACGCGTCAAGTCGCAAAATCATTTCTGGATATTTCTGGTTGTTCCATCCTTTTTTCAGCGCCGACCTGGTGCCACCCAACCAAGCCACGCCCCTCGGTCGTGGTCCAAGGCTAATCCTTGAGGTTCTGAGAGGCCGGAGTCGATCAGGGCGAAGGTGCGTCCAGTTGTGGCCTTGAAATTCCTGCAGTGGCAGGGCGGCCCTGCTTCCACTGGGACAGTTGGATGACAATGGGTCCTACACCCCACCGGGAAAAGCGAGTTAATTTGTCGAAATATACTGAAGCATGACTTACAGGATCCAGACTGAGGTGCTTGTCACTTCAAATAGTCCCTTCTTAGTTGGGTTCTTCGAATATCCTGGGCCCCTCTGACCCTCCCATGGCCGGATCTGGAAACCAACCCCCATACCATGTTTGCAGCCGCGACGCTTCAACTCGGTGTACACCTGTTGGCCCGTTCGGGGGCATGGGTGGTCGACAATGTATCTGTCTTTGTCTTTGTGTGTGTGTGCGCGCGTCACTTGGAGTGCATCATAACAGGAATATGGAAAGGTGACACTTTTGAAACCACCCTTCAAGTAAAATGATGGGTATGAATCAAGAACAACAAGCAGAATGCGTGAGTGAATGAGTTGCCCCGTGAAGTCGTTTAGTGGGTGCCTGACACTCGAAGATCCCCTTCCGTCAAAAGTGGGCACAGCATATTCAGCCGGTTCTCTTTTGTGAACAACTTCTGGTGTAAGTGTATGAAGGTGTATGAATTCCCGATTTTCCATCTCAAATCTTCCTCCCGGTCAGCAATTCCACTGAACCATGGTTGTTTCAGCTAAAAATCTAGGGGTGCCAACGGATGAACCAAGATCCACCGCTGCCACCCAGCAACGATCTTCTGCTCAGAAGGGCTGCTGATAATCAGAAACTGCTTGGGCGTCAGCTGCGGTGCCACAAAGGTTGGATTGAAGTAGTCCACACCTCAGCACTGCTGAAAACCAATTCCCAGTTGCTTTTACCAATTCCCAGTGCTGCTGGTCCCAGTCCATAGCCGCAGGGCCTTCATCTGAGTCCCGCACTCCGCGCGAGTGTAGCAGTGCCTAGGAGGTTTTCGCGATCACCGATATGGTGTCTTGGCACCAGCAGGGGAGTGATTTGAATTTCATGTTGAGATATGCATGGGATGTGTATACAGTATACCGATATGTGATGTCTGCAGGTTCTTCTATTTGTTCATCATTGTTCATCTATTTGCTGTACTTGTACTTACTTGTTGTGGCTTATCCTGACTTCCGTGATCCAAAACCAACCAATGCTTGATGGCATTGGATGATTCAAGGGCACCTGGGAGGCGGAAAATCTGATGGGGACCTTCAATTCAGTTCCTGGTTCACATTGATGCAAACCTAGGGGATTGTACTACATTGGTGTTGTATGGTGCTGTATGTTACTATACTACATTGCTAGCATTCAGCACAAAAGCAAATCGTTCCAATGAAGTCTGCCACATTACATGTTTTCTCGGCACAGCTAGTCATAGGAGGTCCAACTACAGACCAGCATATATTATACATGTTACTTATTTGAACAACATTATCTGAAACTTATTGTTCATTAAACGTATTGTACAACTATGCATGATTTCCATGTCTGCCCTTGTCACAGTTCTTTGTTCTACGGCCATCTCATCCAGATTTTGCCTACATCGAGAAACTTCCATCCCCACTGTCAGCACCAAGCGGCTCATGAAACCACTTCTTCTTGAGGTCCCTTGCAAGCTCACCTCAGTCACCCAGGGATCCGCAGGGACTTGACGGTCGCCTGTGCGGCCCGCGCTGCTGCCCGCGCTGCTGCCAGGACACCGCATGGGCGCGGAGTGTGGCCAGCAGCAACAGCAAACGAGACCTGAAAATGTCTGAGGTAATTGGAAAATGCACCTTCAAAAATGAAGATTCAACCTTCAAAGCTCGACATTTGACCATCAAAAATTGAGACTTGATCACCAAAATGAAAATCCAATCATCAAAACGTTGCTTTAACCAACCAAAATCATTCCATATCATACCTTTAGATTTCACCTACTTAAAATATCTAAAAATGAGGATATGGTTGGATGAGTCTTGTGACACGGCTTACAGGCAACTTCCATAAAACGATAGAAAAATAAATTGAACTAAAAAAAGCAAAACCAAATCCAAAAAAAAAGCAAAACCCAATCCAAACCTCAATTAGAAAAAAACAACAACAAAAAAAAACTATCCAAACCTCAATTTAAAAAAAAGCAACAAAAATGCAAAAAAAAAGCAAAACCCAATCCAAACCTCATTTAGAAAAAATAAAAAAAAATGCAAAAAAAAAAAGCAAAACCAAAAGCAAAAAAAACAAACTATTTGTTTTTGCTTTTTTTTCGCTTTTTTTCGTTTTTTTTCGCTTTTTTCCATGAGTTTCTTACATTTTCGAAGGTCCCGGTCATCAGGTCACCTGAGAAAGAAAAAACGAAAAAAAAAATGCGAAAACAAACGCGGAAAAAAATGCGAAAAAAAAAACAAAAACAAAGCGGACAAGAAACGAAAAAAAAATTGAAAACACATAGGTTGCGGTTTTTTGTTTTTTTGCTTTTTTTTGCTTTTGTTTGCTTTTTTCTAATTGAGGTTTGGATTGGGTTTTGCTTTTTTTTGTTTTTTTTGCTTTTTTCTAATTGAGGTTTGGATTGGGTTTTGCTTTTTTTTTTTGCTTTTTTTTGCTTTTTTCTAACTGAGGTTTGGATTGGGTTTTGCTTTTTTTTTGCTTTTTTTTGCTTTTTTCTAATTGAGGTTTGGATTGGTTTTCGCTTTTTTATGTTTTTAAAATTCTTTAGAAGTAGGCTGAAGGCATTTCACAAGATGAGTCATACCCCCATGACTGCCATGGGATCAGTCTGATATGCCAAATCACAGGAATTGGACAACTTCCTCCGTCAATTTTTGTACCAGCTAGTTTGTGAAAAGAGACTTGAATCATCCATTGTGTCATTCATTCATTGCCTTGTGACTAGTGAACTTCCCGCACCAGCCATTGAAATTGGTTCGAGGACCCTTTATGACAACAAAGCCCTTTGTTCAAGCAAGCTCTGCAAGAAAAGCTGGAAGGATGAACCAGTGTCCCTGTCATTCTCTGCAATAAATCCGCGTCTTACGTAAAAAATGTCAACAAACAAGTTAAAGCATCATTGATCCCATCCCCAAAATATTCGGCACCCCATGGGCCCAAAACAATGCATAAAATAAATGCAGTACTAAACTCCAATGTTTCTAGATGATATTCAAAATATATTCAAAAAAACTTCGCTCTTGGCCTCAGGTTCCCCAGATCTTCCCCTGACGGCTCCCACATGCTATGGGCGCCGCAGTCCGAAGTGGCGGCGCCCCTGATTCTGTTCGCACAGGCGCACAGGTTGCCACTATAGGCTTACAGTAGTCAACATGGTTTGTGAGCCAATAGTTAAATAGTTCTTAATTCAAACTAGGCCCCGGGTGATATATATATATATATTATATATATATATACATGCAGACATAGATATGGATATGGACAGATACAGATAGATCTTATTGAATTTCGTGCGTAACCACTCGAAGCCCCACCAACGTGTAGCGCCGGATCACTGAGCCTCCGACCACGATAATGGGCAGGGTTGACCCTAATGATCCGCTACTGGATAAATGGTGCTTTGTCAGCTGGAGCCAAAAAGGTTGCGCAAACAATGCTGACGTCCTGTGCCGCGCGACACCGGGTAACATGGGTATGGGTCAAAAATGGTGATATGACAAGCTGCATGGGCCCAGCGCCAATTTAAAAAGTCGAAAGCCAGGCATCAGAAAGAGTAGGAAATCACCATGGCAGGTTGTGGGATGAACATGGATGAACGGGATAACCGCGGAGAGGGAGTTTCAACAGGAAACCTCCTTCCTCTGGCGAACTCAGGTATTGTGTCTGAGCCGGACCCACATTGCCCGCAAGCAGCTGGACTGCCGTCCATGTTTTCCATCCACCAAGCTGTTCCGATGCAGGAAGGGGCGGCCCAGACCAGCGTAGCGTGTAGACAACCCAATTGGTGAGTAACTGTTGCATATGACCCATTTGCGAATGTAATAAGCTAAAGGCATACTTGGTGATCAGGTGCGTGCTGGCTCCAAAGTCAGATCCAATTGCTATCACAATCACTGAGTCTGCTTTTTTTAGGGGGGCACGCTGTTCCATCAAAAGGCTGACTGGCACAAGCCTTGTCAGGATTGAGTGTGGGATCCTCTCAGGTTCAAGTCTTCGTGGTAGATTCGCTCCAGAAGGCTTTTGGCACACGCCCCTCCTGAAACTGCCGGAACAGGCGGAGAGCTACTTTCGCTCGAACTTCCAGCAGGGCTTGGAGTGGCGCTCAACACAAATCATGCTTGTTGAAAACATTGTCCAGGTCGTTTGCGCGTCAAAAAATAGTGCTATCAAGCAGCCACAAGAAGAAATACGTGCAGGTCCGGATTGCACTATGCACATGAGAGATACAGATAGATACAGTAACCGGTGCCAACGGAAATCTGGGACCACCCATTCCATGTTTGGAAGTTCTCGTGCCGTCAGAGCTGCTGTGTTTTACAGCTGGGGTGAGACTTGGGGCCGGAGCCCCTTTGGAACTCTTGGAGATTTAGGGAGCTGCCTAGGACAGGTCTCCCCAGTTGTGTCCTATGTTATGTAGCCTATGTAGCCTATGTCCAATGCCCACCTGGAGCTTTACCCCTGGATCCTGTTGAGACTTGAGACCAAGACTTCACACCACAAATGCCATCAAATGGCCACAGATGTTCCCAAATTGATCATGTTTCAATTCGTTGACCAACAAGTTTGAGCCATCCTGCCCAGGGGAAGCTTCTTGGGGCGCTTCCCTTCACCTTCAGTAGGCTCCCATTGGCGTCCCAGCTCTTGAGGAGGACCTGGCTCTGGAAATCGAACACTTTGCCATTGAAAATGGCCATAGAAATAATAGGTAAATCGTAAATCATCTAGAAATTAGTATATGCATAATTTTCCGTGGCTAGATTTCCCGTTATTGGTCACAGATTTCCCGTCTTGAGGATCTACAAAAACAGAATGCACCGTCGCATCCACCAAGGAGAGATCGGTCACAATATGTCACAATCTTCCGCGTACCCTGCGGTCCAAATCCCTGGGAAAAGTGTGGCAGAGCAGTACATACCGGTGAAACATTTTCTGAGATTGTCATGTAAAATGTTTGATAGTGTTCACTGCCAAAAGAAAATCATGATCAACTGGATGGTCGTACAATCTACTGATGAAAAGTAACAAATCTTCATGATTGGGCAACAAAGGGGTCATCATTGGAAGACAACACATTTGTTTTTTTGCCATAAATCATCTTGAACCTTTGAGTGTCAAGACGTCAAGCCATGGTTGTTTGAAACCATTGACCTGTCCAATCTATGAGGGTACCCCGAGCCATCCTCCAGTGACCGAGGGACCGGGATCGCTGCGACCGGAACGAATGGACGCTGCCAGTTGCCTCAGCGCGACCCGGCTGGATGAAGCCACGGAGAAAAGCAGAACATCTGGGTGGTTTCGAAACCATCGACAAAACTATACTATGAATATGTATATATATATATACATTATTTATTTAATTTATTGACTGATTGATTTATTTATTGATTTATTTCATTTTTCATTTATGTATTGATCTATTTATTCATGTACTTTTTTGATTTATTGATTGTTTTCATTTATTTAGTGATTTATCTATTTATGTGTTGGCTTATTTCATTATTCTTATTATTTATTTAGTTTGTTTGTTAGCTCGTTAGTTTGGTAGTTTGTTCGTGAGTTAGTAGTTAGTTAGTTAGTTAGTTAGCTAGCTAGCTAGCTAGCTAGCTCGCTGGCTGGCTGGCTGGCTGGCTGGTTGGTTGGTTGGTTGGTTGGTTGGTTGGTTGGTTGGTTATCTATGTATCATGTATCCATCTATTTGTTTTTGTTTATGTATGTGGATATATAATATATATGTAGATATTTATATGAGCCGCCGGTCTTCTACACAGGCAATGGTAATTTCCCATGTTCAATCTGGAAATGGTTCATGGACAAATTCAAAAACTACTAACTGTGTGTGTTTCTATTGCCATGTTAGATTGCCAGAGGATTTCCATGCGGAATTTTCCACAAAACCCCAAAACACCCATGAAGCTATCCAGTAACAACAAACCACACTGGCGGATTTGAATCCATGACTAAACCTATGGGCTTCAAGAGTTGAAGAAAACCCTAGGCTGAGCCAGCTAACGGCTATATATAAATATCATAAATTGTCGGATTTTAGATGATTTTGGGGATTTTGGTGCATATCATCAGAATGTCCACATGCAAAAAATGCTACACCTGCCAACCACCGGGCGCGTTTTTTGGTCTCTGGCACTGGGCCTCCCTGCAGGGCGTGGAGGCAAGGGGCTCGGAGCTGATGCCTGGGCATAGCCGATGACCACTATTTTAGGGGACCTCCAAAATATATCAACCAGGGTTTATTAATTCAGGGTGTGGCAAACCCAATGAGAAACCATTCCCAATTTTACCAATTTTTGTGGGTGGGAATCCCAACCATCCCCAAAAAGGAGGTTTATGGCTTTGGGTTTAGTACATTGCCCCCCAATTGAAACCCTGGCGAAGCATTGGATCTAATCATTCGGCCAGCACTTGTGCTCTGTCCCAAACTCCTTTAGGATGATTGTCGGAACCCTCATTTTTGGTGACGCTTACAGTACTTTGTGGCCTTCCACAATGTTGGGGTGTTATAACTATAACTGTAACTTGATGGCTCTGGGCTTGCGAACCCAGAGACGTGTTTGATGACCCTCTGCGGGGATCCGGCTGTCTAGCAATATTGGTGTTCGCAACTTTTTAATAAACGCTTCAAAAAACTTGGGGAAACCCAGGAAAAACCTGAATAAAACCTAAAGAAACCCTGAAGAAACCCCAAATGAACCCTCAAAAAACCCTAAAGAAACCCTGAAAAAAACCGTGTGAACGTGTATGTAGTGAAGTACCTGTGGGGCGTAGAGCACGTGCTGCGGGTTACCATTGAGGTCCCGAAAAATAGGCTTAATTATAGTATATATTTCACATTAGCGGGATGGTGTCAACCCTGTTCAACCCAAAAAATGATTGGGGAGGTGTTCCTACAAGCTGTTCCATGCCCAGCGGCATTGAAGCTGCTGAAACCATTTCCCGTCCCCGGTCTGGAGGGAAGCTCAGCATCTATGCCAATGTATCCTGGGGAAGCCGAGCTTTCACGTCAAGCGCAAGCGATTCCATGTGGGGTTAAAGGTCATCACTACTCTCATCCCACAAATAGGGATCCCTGTGACCATCCCCAATTATGGAAAAGTAATTCAATTTTTGACTTGCATTTGGGGCCTAGTGATCAGCCACACCCTGGGCTCCCAGCGTCTTGACATGTCCACGAAGGGTGAGGGGCACCCTGCTGCCTGATGGTAACCTCAGTGTTTCATTGGCAACACGGCATCGACCCAGCTATCAGTTTGAAGTTGATCAAGATGATCAAGTGCTTGCCATCTTGACACATCGTTGCTCATGGTTGTGAAAATCAGTGTCTAGTGTCTTTCTATGTGCAAGTGATTTTTAGTACCAAGAGAGGCTGTGTCGATTCGGCCAGTTTCAAACTATCCAAAACGACGTTTCGTATGATACACGCTGTGCAGATCGTAACAGCTTTCCATGTCCGTCACCGCAAAAGCGGCTCAATGGCTTGTCTTCTCCGTGGCTGGCACCAATGACAATTTTATCGTCATTTTCATTAACAAGATGGCTACAATGGGAATATCTATCTCAGCTACCTACCATCTTGACACAAGGCCACATGACAACCCTTCCATTTCGAAGTCGCCAGAATCACCAGCACTGATTTCCTGGGGCACCTGGCGCCTGCCAATAGCACACCATGCGTTGTTGAAGAAATCCTTCCCAGCCGAAACGGTCGTGGGTTGTTGGGTATACCCCATATAATATCGTATAATATCGTATAATAATGTATAATACCCCTTGCCTGGGATGATTCAAAGATTTCAAAGGCCTCAAATGATTCATACTTGGAGGTGTGGCATCCAGGATTGCAGCTGGGTCCTTTCGGTTTCCCAACGGCTCCAGATGGTTGCGTCGAAGGGTGGGGTGTGTGTTCAGAGCATGACTCGGGTGGTCCTGGAGCAACAGGGCTGCAGTAGTTCTGTTGCAACTCAAAGGGGGGCAGGTAGAATCGTCACGAAGAACCATGTCTTCATCAATATATATATATATACATATCATGTATTTACATACATACATAAACATAAACATAACTTTAACATAACATTACATTACATTACATTGCATGCATGCATACATACATACAATACATACATAAAATACATTACATACATTACGTTGCATTGCATTGCATTGCATTGCATTACATTACATTACATTACATTGCATGCATGCATACATACATACAATACATACATAAAATACATTACATACATTACGTCGTTGCATTGCATTAGATTACATTACATTACATTACATTTTGCATTGCATTGCATTGCATGCATGCATACATACATACAATACATACATAAAATACATTACATACATTACGTTGCATTGCATTACATTACATTACATTACATTGCA